AGATTAATGCGTATCAATTTTACCGCTAACAAATAATTAGAGTCTCAATTTATATTTAGAAATTGAATCTTATTCTATTAAATGTTAATATCTAAATTTAAAACCCATTATGTATTTTAATATATCAACATTTAATAAAATAATTTTTTAAATTTTAAATAAAGTTTTAATTAAATAAAATAATGTAATTTAATATTAAAACTTCAATTATTTTTATGAATCAAAATTATTAAACATTTTTGTTTTATATATTTAATATTATAAATTTTAAAATAATAAAAAAACATTAATTATTAAATACAATATAAAAAATTAATTATTTAATATTTTAAATTATATAATTACACTACACCATTAATTGTAAATTTTGATTAAAATTTTAATCTATTTATTATTATTAAAAAGGATTCCAGAGATCTGTATCCATGCCGACCGTAGAGGATCAAATGCCATGCCAGAAATCCAATTATCTTATCCTATTTAGTCCCCCCACCCAACCCTTGCAATTCCTTTAGCAGACAGAAGAAACAATCCCTTCTAAGCCAATTCAGTCTCTCACTTTCACCTCCCCAATTCCCTCCCTTTTCTGGCTCCTGTTACCTCACCCACGTATACATCAATGGAGATTTTGTCTTCTCTCTGCACAAACCGCGGCGGTGTAGTCAACTTGTGTGGCGTTGGGTCGCTCTCAGTTCATGGGTTCTCTCTGCAACGTCAAAGGGCTCAATCGTTTACTGACTGTAAGAAGAAACAGAGTTTCCGAGTCATACGAGCGTCTGTCACCAAAACAGAGGTTGCAGTTGTAAGAATCGGCACGAGAGGGAGGTGATTGCTTTCTTCCCTTCTTTTATCTTTAATGTTCCACTTTAATTTTCTTTTCTTTCTTTTTTTTCCCTTTTGGTGAAATCTGCTAAATTTGGGCCTTTGAACTGAAATGGGTTTTGGTCGTAACGCTGGAAAGAGCTTGTTTTTAAGGTTGCTGATGAGCTTGGTATGTTGCCTTGCAGGCTTGTCTTCTGGGTTTGGCTTGATAGGTTGTCATTTACCTTAGTTTCTGCTAATTTAATGAATTATGAATCTGCATTGTCTTTGATAGCTTATGTTGCTTTGATTTTGTTAGCTTCTCTAACCTTCCCAAAAGTTAGCTTCTTTAACTTGATTCCTATTAAATGTAGTGAAAAGCGTTAAATAGATAGATTTTAATGCTAAGTTATGAATCTTTTAAGGCATAACATATAATAGTCAAGCAAATCAAGCATTGCAATGGTATAATTCAAGACAAGTCATTTGTGAGATCTTCTCAATAAGACTCATTGCTCCTAAATTCTAATAGTAGAGCATAGAGTTGAGGCTTCCTTAAGATTCTTTGTCTGGAGTTGTATATCTTGTTTTTCTTTTAGTTTCTGCAAGATGTTTTGCAACTCTTCCCGCCATTTATATTTTTCCCATGTTATAGGACAGTCCATTAGCCCTTGCTCAGGCTCATGAGACAAGAGACAAGCTAATGGCATCCCATCCGGAGCTAGCTGAAGAAGGGGCTATTCAAATTGTGATAATAAAAACAACGGGTGATAAAATACTAAGTCAGCCACTTGCAGACATTGGTGGAAAAGGCCTCTTTACTAAAGAAATAGATGAGGCACTAATCAATGGTGATATTGACATTGCTGTCCACTCAATGAAAGATGTTCCCACTTATTTACCAGAGAAGACAATTCTACCTTGCAACCTTCCACGGGAGGATATACGGGATGCATTTATTTCATTGAGTGCAGCTTCTTTAGCTGATCTGCCTGTTGGGAGTGTTGTTGGGACTGCTTCACTGAGAAGAAAGTCCCAAATACTTAACCGATATCCTTCACTCAAAGTATGTTGCTCCTTGCTTTCATCTTTTAGGACAATATTTACGGTATTGTTTTGAATTATTTAGAGAATTTTTATTGAGAAATTGGACTAGTGAGACTACTAGATCATCGGTCGGTTATTTTATGTCAAGTCACTGAAAATTGAATAGAAATATGAAAGCCTCTCTTTCTACTTGAATTATAGCTTAGTGTTGCTGCACTGCAATTATAAAGATTGTAGTGATGGTAAGCTGACCTTGCAGTCTCAGAATTTAAACATATGTTAACTGTCTTTTTTCAATTCTTAGGTTCCATATGTAATTAGATTAGCAATATTATCTGTTTGTTCTTATTTACATTTTAAGTTTGTTTATTTTGCAGGTTGAGGAGAATTTCCGTGGCAATGTCCAGACACGATTGAGAAAACTGAATGAGGGGGTGGTGCAAGCAACTTTATTGGCATTGGCTGGACTTAAACGCTTGAGTATGACAGAAAATGTGACTTCCATTCTCTCAATTGATGAAATGCTTCCTGCTGTTGCTCAAGGGGCCATTGGAATTGCGTGTAGGAGCAACGATGACAAAATGGTGTGTGCCTGATTTGTGGTTGACTATTAACTCCTACTGTACCCAATGTCCTTTTTTGGTGGGAGACTCTAAAGATCTTTACGATCCTAAGAGATAGTATAATCTTTTGATTTCAAGTTTGTTAATGAAACATATACTGAACCAGAAAAAGAGATTGCAATGGTCAGAATTGATGAGATGACATATCTTCAAGCATAAACTGAGTTTTCTGTCTATCTTTGGTTAGAAGAGTATCCAAATTCAATCTCAAGAGATGATAATTGGGGTTTGAAAATTTGCATGTAGTAACTAGAAAATTTAAAGCTTGAATCTGTTACCAGTAAAACAGAGAATTGATTAGAACCTTTGAATTTGTTACCAGGAAATTGTTTATTTTCTTTAAATTCACCTAGCTTTATATTACATGTCATATATTTCACACATCTTCATTCTTAGGTATCACTTTTGAGACAATTTTTTTCCCTCTAGTTTATTTGATAAATGCAAGTACTGATACTGGGGACTTTTCCTATGGTCATATATGGTTGCATGCTGGCTAAGGATGGTTGCTTATATTGTCAGTCATCTTGATTGTATCCAGTTGATATTCTGGCCTCAAAGGTGATTGTAGGGCTTGCAATTCTGTTGGTATACTGGATGGTGAATTAAACCAGATTTCTTCTTGGATGAAGATTCCTGAAAATCAGGAACTTTCATGGGACATTTTAAGTAATCATTGTTGCTACTGGTTGGCTCTAATGCAGAAGAAATTAGGTAGACTTTGGTAGGTTTAGGTTAAAATCTTAGTAAGTTGATTTGCAAATGATGCCTCTGGAGTTGAAGTTTGTCTGGTAATTGATGTCTTTCATGTTTGCTTGACATTGAAATTTTAACAGTGTCTTCAATGTTGATCTTTTCAAATGTCTGTTTCTTAAATCTTCTCTTTTTCTTTGTTTGATTCTAAATTTGTAGGCTAACTACTTAGCCTCATTAAATCATGAGGAAACACGACTAGCGGTTGTATGTGAAAGGGCCTTTCTGGAGACCTTGGATGGGTCTTGCCGCACTCCTATTGCTGGTTATGCCTGCAAGGACAAGGATGGTAACTGCATATTCAAAGGATTGGTTGCATCTCCTGACGGAAATCGGGGTATACTCTTGCACTTAAAAGAAGAATAAAATTACTCTTTGAATTTACTCTTGAGAGTAATTTTCAGTTACTTCCCTGTTTAATACTGTTAACGCTTCTCTTGTCTCCCTGTTTCAGTTCTTGAAACTTCTAGAAAAGGTCCATATGCTCTTGAGGATATGGTCATGATGGGAAAGGATGCAGGAAAGGAACTTCTTTCTCGAGCAGGTCCAGGCTTTTTTGGTTTTTGAGTAACTAATTTAGGGGGAAAGAGGAATGATTGGAGGCTTCTTTTTCAACTTTTACTGGTTTCATCCATTGAGTTCGTTAATTCTTCTGAACTGTTGTATAATGGTTGGTAGATTGTACGCTAGAAGATATTGTTCTGATTCAATTATGTTGTAATTTTACCATCAAGTCAATTGAAATTTTGTTGCTATGGCAGGTTATTGGTGGATGACAATAAACATGATTTTGTTTACTTTATTAAGTTGTTTTATATTTATATTTCATTTTTTGTTTGGGTACACAAATATTGAAGGTGAAACGACAAACTGTTGATATTTTGTATAAATGTAATGTATAAAATTTATATATAAATAAATTGTTATTATATGTTCGTGTGTATATATATATATGTATTAGAGAGTTACTTGCTAGGCATTTGAACTTCTTTCCTTGACTCTAAATTAAAGTTTTTAAGTAAATAAATATTAACTTGGCTAAGCTTTTGTTAGTATATATTTACATTTGTTTGGTAGTTATAACTGCATCCTTAATTATTTATATTTACATCAATATTTTTTTTGAACATTTCCTTAATGTATCGGATCTAACTTCTTCCCTCTATGCAATTTTCTCTCTTATTTCTTCAATATTCTCATTTTTACTAACATTGTTTGAAGTTGTGAAAGATGTAACATTCCCAGCCACGCTGGAGGCCTACCAACTCAGGTTAGTTTTCACTCTCTATTTGTTACGAAATTCTGAGGAATGGACGAGTAACACCATGGAGGGGGGGGCGTGTTGTTTGGTTTAAAGGTAACATTACACATTATGGACTAGAGTCACTTCTTTGTTACATAGATTCCTTTTTTTTTTTTTTATAATGTCTACACCATAAATTACAAAAATTTAACATATGCCACGTGTTAAATATTTTTAAATTGATGGCAGTAATTTAGCTATATCAGATATGCATTTCTAGGTCCTTTAACAAATCAAGCACCACATAGGAAAGAAAGAGATGAAAAGATAAGATTTTATCTTTTAATTACCTATTTGAGTCACATTCGGTTTGTTTTAGTTGAAATTTAGGAGTTAGTTTCAGTTATGGGTGTGAGTTAGCTAGTAATGGGATAGATATAGTGAAATTTGGAAAGAATTCTAACTCTGTCAACTGCTGAGGTATCCTACTTCTTCACGAAACAGCTTATGATTCTAGCAACTGCAAAAAGTGGGAGTTATAGGCGGGGAAGAGGAGAACAAAAGGAAAATTTTTGATCATTTAACACACGGTCAGCCCTACATACAACTCGACAAATTTTTAGATTTCTATTTTTTTCTACCATCGCTCATTTTAGCTTACAGATTTTAGATTTCACCACAGTTTTCAATAAATTTAAGTTGTTTTAATTTTCATCATTCTAGTACTTAAATTAGTTCGTATATTTGCTTTAGTAATTTCATTTTATGTAATGAACATCAAGCTTTTGAATTTCTATAAAATATTGTTCCTTTTTTTTACTAAAATTAATTTAATGTTTATGATAGGTAGCATTTTATTAAATGATTACTTATATGGTGTTTATGTTTCTTCTCAATTTTAGGCATATTAATTTAGTCCTTGTTCCTATTTGCTTTAGTGTTATTTAGGATTAGATCTTCAATTCTATAGTATTTTAATTTTCATATCTATTTGTACATAACAGTTTAATTTGACAATAAATATGTTTAATTTATTTTGGGTACATCTTATTCATGCAAGTAAACTTTAAATTGAATGCCATTTAGTTTAATTAAGATCTATTAACTTTGATTCATGGTAATATTTAAATTCTTGCAGTTCTTCAAAGTAGATTTAGTAACCCATCATGAGGTATCCTTTCCTTTTGCAAATTGTTTGTAGGTGTAGATTTTTATTGAAAACCAACGTTCTTTCTACTATCTGCAAGGAGGTCTACCGTGAACAAAATTAGTAACACATCCACATTCCAGATTCCGTACATATAAAACCACTTGAGGATTTTGTGGAAAACATATACACTACACACTCTTCATTTATCTTAAGAAACAAGTGTTTACAATTTGGTATTTTAAAGCATGTTTGGTTCAGCTTTCAAGTGTTTTAGTTTTTTGACACTATTTATGTTTCATAAATTTAAATTTTTTTGTTAAAAATTTACATTTTTAAACTTTTATTAAACCTTAAAAAGATCTCAAATAATAAAAACTTCAAATCCAAACTTTTTATAAACTTCATTTTTACTCATTTTTTACTCTTTTTTTTTATTTTTAAAAATAACTTTTAAATTCACCCTTTAATAAAAATTTAAATTTATCACACGTAAATAATATATAAAAAAAAAATTCTTACAAGTTAACTTAAACATATTCTTAGTGTACCTGCATAACTTTCTCCAAAAAAGTAGAAATCATTGGACTTGAATTGTGGGAATCTTCGTAACCAATTGACCAGAAATTTATAAGAATCCTTGGCTGTTACCATGAAAAAAGAATTGTGGTTAAGAGATTGATAATGAGGGAAAATTAAAGCAAAATTTTCTCCGGAAAATGTGTCATTGCATTGAGGAAATTTAGTTAATTACCAGCAATTGTGTCACCGAGTTGACTAATATCGCTGCTGGTGTTGGTGTAAGAAAATCCAACTCCAACCGGAAATTCGAGAAACAGTAAATTGGCAGCTTCACCAAAGCAGAAAACACAAATTATTAATCAGTGAATACTAATTTTTTGCAAAAAATGCAAGAAGGGAACAAATTTTTTAGACCATTAATAATGTAGGGCCCATGGTTCAAAAAATTACCATTCTTACTCCAACTCCAAATATCAACGTCCATTCGAAAAAGAGAATTAAAAAAATATATTATTGATTCCAAATAACCTACTAATTCAAGAAGTCTCGAGTACCAGAAGAATTTCTCCTTATGGATCATCTAAAAAAGTTCTTTCTAGGGAAGAGATGTCCTACCTCCAGAAAAAAAAAAATCTTTTCTAGAGAAGAGAGGTCCTAGCTCCTCTCCAGCTCCATACCCAATTGGGGAACATTTCAAGTCCCTAATAGAACAGCAATAATAATAAGAGATTAATGTATATTAGTTTTGATTTTTTTTTTTTAAATTAGAGTTTTAATCTATATTTAAAAATTAAATATATAAAAATATAAATTTATATAAAATAATATTAACTATGATTTTGGTACTAATCCCTTAATATCTGAAAATTATATGAATCTTGACGTTGAATTTCATAAAGTGAAAACTCTCTCAATATCATTTTTCTATTCATACAAAACTTGAATTTAAAATTTTATTTAAAGAAAATCAACAAGTTTTTGGTAATATTAATTATAATAATTGAAACCAAAATTAGCTTTTTAATTATTTCTCGCATGTTCTAATGGACACCATATTTCTACCCAGATCTTATTCCAGCCGAAACTCCTTAGCCCACTGACATTTCACAAAAATATGTGCCTGATCTTCCACTCCTTGCCCACATACGTACAGGGCATTTCAGGTCAGTTACAATGCCTATTTGACTGAGTGTCTCTTTTGTAAGCAGCATTTCGCAAATCTAGGACCATATGAATTGCATGATTTTTGTTTTTTTAGGGAGCCTAATTATGCTCCCATGAAGTCCTCATCCGGAAATATCTACCACTTACGACCTCATAGCATAGAGTATCCTGGTTTTGGGTGAGCCTGCAGGCGTATTTTACCAACATAGCCAAGTAAAGGCCTTAAAATCTCTTAACCGCAACCCACCCACACTCTTCGGTGTACGTGGTCAAAATAACTGTTGAATGAGGTTCAGATTTTTGTAGTTTTTGAAGTCACTGTACCATCACAAGTTGCAACAGTTTGGTTTATGAATCTTGATATAATTTTACCGATAGTTAGGTAGCTTTTGTTAACTTCCTATCAGATTTGACAATTGTATTGGGGGGCTAAAACTAAGCTTCTTGTAGTTGGTAAACTACTTTTCTCTTCCCCGTGATTTTTTGTCTATTTTGTACAAAAGCTGAAATCAATGAAATTTCTGGTGTTCTGCGTTTTTTTTTATCTCTGTTTTTCTCTCCATTTTTCCTCTGTGCAAAAACATTGCAGTAACTTCCTCCCTTCAAAGTTATCACGACACCGAAATGTACTTACTAACCTATTCTGGTCATCAATAAGGCTCTAGGCAACCGGATGCAACTCCTATGCCATATTGCACATTTGCACGAAGGGATCACCTGAATTACAGCCTTGATAATCCCTCCTAGCTCTTGACAACAGTTTAGTCTTTCAGACTTCCACCGCTGCAGTTTAGTCTAGACTCTATCCCCGATGGCATTAAAAGCACTCATAGACTTGCTTTTGATAAAATTAACATTTTTTTTTTATAATAGAGAGTAAACTGTTTAATATAATAGAGTTTTAAATCTTTAACCTTCACTCTAAATTAAGATTTTTTAAATTAATGAGTATAATTCTGTCAAACCCTTATTGGTTTGATATAAATTAGTATAAGTTTTAGGAATGTCAAAAAAAAAGTTCTCCATCTTACAAAATTTGAAATTTGTGAGAAAAAAAAACTTATAACTCAAAAAGCAAAATACCTCTCTAATCATTTAAGCAACATTTTTGTACTACGTTCAATATTTTTCTTAGTTTGTTTTGGAAAACATGGATTAGTGAACTAAATAATCTTTAATGAAGAAACTTCGTTCTTAGAATATGTTTAAATTGAAGGACTTGGAGAGAAATGGGAGGAGAGTGAGCAGAAGATGTCTCATTTCCCTTCTTTGGATTTCTTCATTAATAGAAAGGGAGGGAAATGAAGGAGTGATGGATCCCCTTCCGTTCTTCTATTTTCCATCCCGTAAATTAGAGGGATTGTGAGAGTTATGGTTTATAAATTTAACTCTTTTTAATTTTAAAAAAATATATAAATATTTTATTTTAATTATTTTTTTCATTAGAAATTTTTAAAAATTGTATGTTATTTTATTTTATTTTATTTTTAAATTACTTAAGTAAAAATATTATCATTTTCTCTCTTTCATTTTTA